TATTAATATAAAAGGAAATATAATTAATACTTATTTTACATAAAAATAATAATAAATGAATATAAACAACAACTAAAAAATCAACAATGACAATATATAATAAATAAAAAAATATTATAATGTAAGATTAAAAGAATCAGAGTCTTTTTTTTCTTTTCTAATTTTCCATGGGCGAAAAACAGGTAATAGCAATCAATGAGTTATCATCTCTCATTATCGAAGCAAGTCCAATGTCGACTTTAGGTAAAGTTGGCAGTCAATAAGTCTTTGCAGGCGTAAGTGATGGTGGATGTGAGAGTACCCTAGGGGCCAGTAGACTCGCATGACCTTCATAAAAATCCTAACATCAATAATTATTTTGTCCTACAAACATCAGCGACGACTCCAGAAATTTCCATATAGACTTAAAAGAAAATATACTTAATCAAAGGGATTTTCATGTGAACTTTAATTTTATTGACTTTTCCGATCTCTACATTAAACTCATAACGTGTGATTAGAGCATTCCTAAAAACATCAGTAAGGACTCCATAAATTTACTGAAAGTTTTCAGGTAGACTTAAAAGAAAATATAACTAATCAAAGGAGTTTTCATGTGGACCTTACTTCCATTGACTTTTCGATCTCTACATTAAATGCACAACGTGTGATTAGAGCATCCCTAAAAACATCAACAAGGACTCTAGAAATTTCCCAGAAATTTCCATGTAAACTTAAGAGAAAATATAACTATTCAAAGGGGTTTTCATGTGGACCTTACTTCCATTGACTTTTCGATCTCTACATTAAATGCACAACGTGTGATTAGAGCATCCCTAAAAACATCAACAAGGACTCTAGAAATTTCCCAGAAATTTCCATGTAAACTTAAGAGAAAATATAACTATTCAAAGGTCATGTGGACCTTACTTCCATTGACTTTTCGATCTCTACATTAAATGCACAACGTGTGATTAGAGCATCCCTAAAAACATCAACAAGGACTCTAGAAATTTCCCAGAAATTTCCATGTAAACTTAAGAGAAAATATAACTATTCAAAGGGGTTTTCATGTGGACCTTACTTCCATTGACTTTTCAATCTCTACATTAAACTCACAACGTGTGATTAGAGCATCTCCGATGCATGCTCTTATTTAATTGGCGCTTCAGAAAAATAAAAAGATTTTTTAAAAAAATATTCTTCAATGCTAATGTCTATTTATTATGTCGAAAAAAAAAAAAAAAAAAAAAAAAAAAAAAAAAAAAAAAAAATAAACATCATATGCTACACCTTCTATTTGTAGAAAGTCTCTTAGACATTGTGAGCATTTATTGCTTTTTAATGATTAATTGTATATTAAATTATGGACCCAAAAAAAAAAAAAAGGAGAAGAAGAAAGAGAATGCAAGAGAATTTGAAAATGGTGCATTAGAGAGAGATTTTTAAAATTCAATGTCTATAAATAGACATTCAGCTATATCATAATTCACACTTTCTATTTCATATAACACATCAGCTATAATTCACATTAACATTGGAGATACTCTTAGAGAAACATTATATAGTTGCACTATACTGGTTATTATCTGTAGGCTGTAAACGAGTTATGTGACTCATGAGTTGATTAAAACTCGATTCAATGGAAAAGTTTACTTGAACTCATGGATAAAGGCTCGACATAGAGATTGCTTAGTAGGCAAGACTAAAGCAACGCAGATAATTTATTTTGCCTTAAGGTCTATTTGGCAAAATTAGTTATTTTAGTAATTATTAGCTGTTTTAGTAAGTGTCAATTATTTAATTAGTGTTTCATCAATTATTTTGCCTTAGAGTCTATTTGGCAAAATTAATTTTTTTAGTAGTTGTTAACTGTCCTAGCAATTGTCAATTGTTCAACTAGCCTTTCGTCAAATCTAAAGGAGTAATGTTTCATAATTCCCCTCTCTAAACACTTGTGTAAATGCTCATCACCAAACATGGTTAATGATAAAAATAATATTTTTACTAAATCAAAATACTAAACCTTACATGAAAAATTGTTGTCAAACACGAATTCATTTCGGCTTAAGCACGACCTTTGTAGTGTAAAATTCATAACATAAATTGTATGCATTAGTATCAAATCACTTGCCTCTTGATTGATCTCATGACAATTTATTTGTTTATTTAAGTTGTAACTTATCCTCTGAATAGTAATTAAATAGAGTCGAACCCAGCTACTTATTATAACATTACTCGACTCGATTTTTTTTTTTTTTTTTTTTTTTGACTCGATTTTTTTTTTTTTTTTTTTTTTTAGTAATCAACTCAAATTTGAAAAACTAAGATTCCTCCAGACAATTTTAAGATTCGATTCTAAATATTACATTTCCAGAATTCTTTCAGTTTGAATAATTTGGAACGAATTCAATATTCTACGCATCACTTTCAAGTTTTAAAAATATATATATATATATATATTATATATATATATTATATCTTACTATTATACACAAAGTTAAGAATACAGTCATTCATCCTCCAATATAACACAAAAGTTAAGAATACAGTCATTCATCCTCCAGAGAGACAAACATATGTTTTTATCAAAAGACAACAAATTTACTTTACCAAATTAACTTTTATTGGTTCTTAAAACTAGTAAGGATTGCCTTACCAATTTTATTAATTGGTACCTTCCATCAAATCTATCACAAGTACTTGTATTGACAGATTTGATAGATTATTATTATAATACCTTATACAAGTTATGGTAATTATATAAGTTCACCATGCATTGGTGGCTAAAGTTAACATCTTTATACAATTAAATGCATGAATTCAACATGAATTTATAATTTTAATTTTATGATACCTGAACTTTACAATTTTATTCTCATCGCAACCTGAATTCAACCTTAACTTTATTAATAAATGATCTATTATGCACTTGAATTTATAAATTTTAGTAATATTACATACTTTTTGATATTAATATCAATAATTTTTAAGATTTTTTATTTTTATCTATAAAATATCAATTTAATATGTTATTAATATTACTTTTGAAACAATAATTTTCATAATTTTTAATAAATATTTAATTGATCTAATTTTACAAGTTCTAAGTGTTCAATAAAAGAATTCTAAAAATTGAAGTATTCAATAGATATAGTTTTATAAGTTAAAACATTTGATAAATCAAAATAAAGATTAAGAGTGTCATAAGATTAAAATAATAAAATTGAAAAATGAATTTATGTAATCGGCCGGTTCTAGACCTTTCATTATAAGTTTTACAAAGTTGTCTAGACATCATTGCCTGGTCAAAATATAGCATCTGTATATCACACAGCGAGGAAATAGGATGTCATTCCTTATATCCAATTCCAAATTCCCCAACCATTCAGCACCGTTACCCGCATCAGCTTATGCTATGAATTCAGATTCCATTGTAGAATGTGTTATTCGACTTTGTTTCTTTAATGCCTAAGAAACAGCACCACCTCATGTCCTAAAATCCAACCTTGCGGTCGATTTATCATCAATAGTATGAGGTACATATTTAGCATCAGTATAACTTTCTAACAAATGCAGGAAAATTATTGCAAAATAATCTGCAATACACATTCCTCTTCAAGTATCCAAAAACTCCTACAATTGCTTTCCAAATACCAATATCCAGCACTAGGCTTGCTAATATGTCCTGACAATTTACATGCTGAGAATGCAATAACAGGCCCTGTGTAACAGTACATGACATACACTATATTGTCAATCACAAATGCATACTCAATTTGTACAATTAGAATATTATGTATCTATCAGCATTATTATGTTGAAAACCATATTCTAAAATTACAGAATCAAATTTTTCATGCCATTATTTTGATGCTTGTAAGCCTGGAGACCTGCAGGCAGTAATCCTAAGACCTCCAAAAGGAAATTTCTTTGTGCTAATCAAAAATTGAAATAACAAAGAGAAAACCGTAAGAATTGATTAAGTTGTTCATATCCTTGGTAAAGAGATCAACAAATAAAACTGCTAATTAACTAAAGATAATTTAAAAATAAAATAAAAAATATATATATACACACACACACACACACACACACACACACACAAACACACAATAAAACACAACATGCCATGCCTAACCACAGCTTGGGAATGATGATCACAGTTAAAAGATGGGGCAAAATTAGCATACAAGTTTCCAGGAAAAAAGAAATCTTCATTTTTGTTATCTACATGTAAGCCACATATTCTAAACCATTAAAAATATCCAGGAAACAGATACTGTGTTTATGGGGCAAAATTTAGCAAAGAAATCTTCATTTTTGTTATCTACATGTAAGCCACATATTCTAAACCATTAAAAATATCCAGGAAACAGATACTGTGTTTATGGGGCAAAATTTAGCATACAAGTTTCCAGGAAACAAGAAATCTTCATTTTTGTTATCTACATGTAAGCCACATATTCTAAACCATTAAAAATATCCAGGAAACAGATACTGTGTTTCTGTACAAGTGGCAATATGAATGATTGTTCAAATAACAGAGGCTACTCTGCTCTTTAGTATGTTGCTACGGAAGACAAATGGAACCACTTCAATATTGTTGAACTGAATCTAAGTACTTCATGATGAGTTATCCCAAGTCCATTATAGCCCATATTCAATGTATTTAATTAGAGCTGCTCGAAAAGCTCCTTCGAGCTTGTATCATAAGCTTAACAAGCAGAGTCAAGGATGTAAAGAGGCAAGTTTATATTTTTAAACGTATTAACTGAAAACAAGCTGAGATCAAGCTGGGTTTTTTCAAGCTCGAATCAAGCTTGAATGGAACTGGACCACTCAGCTTGTTACAACTCTAAATTTATAATGTACCACATTCTACAACCCATAAGATCTATCCATGCACATAAACAAGTGTCCTTACATAATCTATATCAATATAGTGAATCAAATTATGCAGAGCTTATCACTACTCTATGCACAAAAAGCACCCAACACAAATAATAGCGACAAAAATATAGAAAAAATTAAAAATCATCAAATTGGCAGGAATTTAGACGAACATTCATAAATTCAAGAGCAACGAAAAAATTGCTACCAAAATTATATTCATTTTCTTGAGGATTAAGCAAAACCCAATTCAATGAACACATGAAACGTCATAATGCAACTTTCCTCTTACAATCCAATTAATCTGTTTCTCACTCTCAAAACACCACGCGAAACTGCGGGGCGTCGGCTTCACTAGCAGGAAGGATTTCCCAGCGGCAGGGCTCGAGCTCCTCGGAGACGGGACAGTATCCTGCCAGAGTCACCTTATCGTTAGAAGCAGCGATGGACCCAAACTCGAAAACAGTAACGTTCTTAGAGGGCCGGGGAACCTCCACAGCGCCATTCATGCCGGGTACCTCCGAAATTTCGGGCTTTGAGGTCTGAGAGGATTTCGTTTCGGGTTTGGGGCTTCCTTTGAACCAGGAGAGAAGACCCATGGCTCTGAATTGGGAAATATTTTTCTGGTCAAGGCTGAGTTTAGGGTTTTGGGGGCAAAATTTGGTCTTAATAAAATGATTTGGGGTTTTCCGGATGCTCCAATTTTCCGAATTACGATAATGACCTTCCCGCTCCGACAGTAATTTAGTTGGGCCTGAGCTTTGCTCTTTGGTCCATCGGTTGATTGATTGTGAATGTCATTTTATTTTCTTTATCTTTTTCTTTGCGTTAATTATATTTTTGACCAATTTGAAAAATTGGATCAATTGTATGTTCAATCAAAATAGAAAAATTAATATGATCCTTGAAAGGGTAAAATAACTAATTGATCTGTAAATTTTATTTTTGATATTGTTAATTTAATTTCTATGTATAGATTGAGCTAAATTGGATTATTCAATTTTGCCAATAAATTGCCACTAATCAAATTAATGATGTAATTGACAAACTTTCTACTGTCAAGAAGTCCATTAACACTAATAAAGTTTTAAAAACTTGAAAAATTAAGTTTTTCCTAGTTGGATTTCATCCGTACTACTAAATATATCAGGTGCATAAAATTAAGATTTTAATAAATCGAATAAGTATTAGATCTGTCAATGCTCTTCTTCGAATATAATTATGGATTGTCACAAATATAGTTATAATATTTCTTTATATATCAAATGGATATGACTTCACTTGTAATATATTTTATCATGTCTTCTATACTTCAAAAGTTCTTTCGATGTAACTTTTAAGACTTTGTTCGGCAATAACTTTTCACGTAGTGTTTAGTATTTTGACTTAATAAAAAACATTACTACTATTTATTGTGTTCGGCGGCATAGTTTTTGTGCTAATGTTTAGAGTTTGAGGGAGTAGAGTATGAAACGTTAGTCCTTTACCGTTTGATGAAACAATAGTTAAATAGTCAACAACTATTAACACAACTAATTTTGCCTAACATATCTTATTGATATCCAACATTGACTAAATATTATTTTCCTGCATATATGACAAATATATCTTAATAATCATATGCTAAAAGTATGTAATAAAAAAATATATCAATTGCACATGTATAGTTGCATCTAAAATTATTTAATAAGAAAATTTAAAAGATAATATTAGATAACATTTATCAGGCGATGGTTTGAGAAAATTCAAATTTCTCTTGTGAATTGCATAGCAGAAAATTGTCCATCATGAGTTGTACCTTTCCATCCAGCTAGAACAATATAAATTAAGATATCAAAACTATAAGAGCCATAATATTTTGTATAAAGAACCCTTTACTACCAACGAATTGAATTTGGATTTCCTTATTAACACATCCTGGCACATAAGTGTCATCAGTTATGCCAATACAATCTTATTTTGGCTTGAAAAAGTCACAAAGTATTATCATATGTAAAAGTTACAATAAAAAAAGCAATATTAAAATACATTAAAATAATATATATAGTGTCTCAGGATAAATAGTACTGAATGTTGAGGCTTTAGGCTTTATTATATCAACTGAAAAGTGTATTATTACCTTTAATACTTCATGAAAATTTCTACTTATTATTTCAAGTGTTGAAACCATTCTTGATATATGCCCATTTGAAGCAACTACAACTAGAAATAAAGATACATACCAACTATAAGTGCTTTGGAATTAATTGTATTTCATGTATTGATGTTACAAAAGAAGAGAAATGTATAAAATATAAAGTTGTTAACAAAACAACTTTATACAATGGTTAATATCCCTACATAAAATGGTAAAAAATAAAATAAAAATCACAAAGAATAGTTGGGTAAGATTTAGCTTAAAAAACAGCAAGTAAATACTCTATTACTACTCTAGTGCCCTCCCACAAGCATAATGAAGAAGATTGAAGCCAAAGCTTGCCACAATGTTGCTCAAAGAAGGGCCAAGATAAAGGTTTGGTAAATATGTCGGCGAGATGATTGGTTAGCCACTTTCTTTCGAATAAAATGGTAATCCAATTCGATATGTTTAGTGTGAGCATGAAACACTGGACTAGCCGAAAGATAAATTACACCAATATTATCACACCATAAAATGGCAGGCTCTTTAAGAGGGAAACCAAGTTCAGTTAACAAACTATGAAGCCATAATGTCTCAGTTGTAGTATTAATAATTACTTTATACTCACTTTCAATAGAAGAATGGGCAATGATTGGTTGTTTCTTAGCCATCTGGGAAATTGAATTTTTGCCCATATAAAGACCAAAACCACTTGTAGAATTTCTATCATCCGAATCACCATCTGAATCAGTATCTGAATTGTAACATCCTTTCCCGATCCACGCAATAACCCGAATGAACCGAGTCGAGACGCTATAATCTGGTTGAACCTATGTCCTGTCATGCTGATATCATATTGTATGCTAAATATGAATATAAAACACTCCCTATTAAACTCTAAACTTCCAACATCTTCAAATAATCATCATAACACAATAACACTATTTATATCTTTTCATAATTGTATAAATCATCAATAGCATTTAATATCCAGCAATTAAGTGCATTCATGCTGATATCATATGTATGCTAATATGAATATAAAACCACTCCCCTATTAAACTCGAAACTTCCAAACATCTTTCAATAATCATCATAACACAATATAATCTTTCTTTTTCATAATTGTATAAATTCATCAATAGCATTTAATAATCAGCATTAAGTCCAGCAATTTATTGCATTCATCATATATATCAAGTCTTCATGACCTAATCATACCAACTATAGTAAAATATTTCATATTCAATCATTTCATAAGTATTATTCTTATCTTCAACTACTTACAGTAAAATAATTACATGCTTCACTTATATTGTCAATCACATCCAATCACATAAGCTCGAACAAATGTAATAATTGTACATGCTATAATTCTTAATTATATAACTCTCAATCTACTACTCCCAAATTGGTCACTTCTGCTTTGATAGTATTCCTCAAGTCTTCAAGTAGCAACCACGATCTTCAACCTACGCGTGATAAAAATCGACGCGCTGAGTATAAAACTCAGTGGTGTTTATAATTCACATACTTAACAAAGTGCGATGGCAACTTACGTAAAATACAAAGTTCATAAAAGCATTGATAATCTTAAAATCAGTAAATTTCAACATAAAGAATCAGCTCAAATTGCAACCATACATGATCTTATAGCAAAGAATAAACTCTAAAAAGAATAAACTTCTAATTCATAACATAACTAATTGAGTTCTAATTATCTCATAATTCCTTTACATGAACCTTTAATCACACATATCATGATACTATCATGATCTTATCTTCTGTTCATTATACTGCATGAATTAAATAAAAAAACATGTAAGAACAGATAACATTATATTTTCATTGCCTTACTTGCTGTTCATTATACTGTATATTGCATAACTGTATGGCTCCATAAGAACTAAATAAATAAACTAGTAAGCACACATAACATTATACTTTCATGATGTACCTGATGTTCCTTATGGTTCAAACTCAGTGAATATCGCAATGAATAAAGAAACAAGTAAGCACATACATATGTATAAATAAACATGTAATCACATATGGAATGTAAGCACACATACACATTCATGATACCCTTTCATTAGTCCGTTACTTTGTGCAGGGAACGCCTAATGTCACGCAGGACGTGGAACGCGACGGGACCGGACTGCGCTCGCCGGCTTGTGAGTCGAGGAGGCGGGTAGCGGCGGGCGGCTCATGTATCTGTATGTTTATAAGCAATTTGTAGTTCAATTATAACTGTGAATAGCTCCATAAAGGTTATACGTGAAACCAAAGTGATAAGAAAAACTGTATGAAACTTGGATGAATACTATATGACTGAGCTGCTTATGGCCATTATACAATTCATTATCCACTCAACGGCCGTGTAGCTGGAGTACCAAACGTATCATGGGGCACAGATCTGCTATCTATGTCGCGACATAGCCTTATCATACATGGTTTCTACCTAAAACCTTAATGGAGCATTAATAATCGAGTATGTCAATATAATAAACACAAGCATATTAATGCTTCATTAATTTTCATAACCCATACCCTTACCTGTATGCTGATAGCCTCGCCAAGCGGGCAACTTGTGTCATGTTGTTCACAATTCTTTGCATGCTTGCATTTTGTGTTCTATTTAGCATGATGGGCATTGTTGGTCTTTTTGTCTTAAAATGATTGGAGGCATACAAGTTGAGCAAAGAGATACAAATTACATAGAAAATTGAGGTCCAAAAGAGCATCAAAACACAAGTCGCGAGCGCGCCATGCAAAGTCACCGAGCGGCGCCATGCAAAGTCGCGGGCAACGTGGAAGCACATATGAGGTCAGTGAGTTTAGTCAGTGAGTTTACAGGCCAAATTCGCGAGCGCGCAATGAAATTCGCGAGCGCGAGAAGCGAAAAATGAGAGTCAGAGAGTTTACAGGCACAATGCGCGAGCTCGACATGAAATTCGCGAGCGCGCATCGTGTTTTCCAGCCTGCGCAGTCTGTACTATTTTGGTTATATCTCTCAATCTATAACTCTGATTTGAGTGATTCAAAAACCTATTGAAAGCTAACACATAGAGGAACAAATAACTCTTCTATGCCACTTCCTAATTCCATCATTAAATAGGGTTAAAATCAAGGTGAAGTTACTGGTTACTTTTCCAAACAAAACCATTTCAGGCATGAATACTTTTTACTTCAATTTATTCATTTCATCATCATGCTTTTTTCCACCATTTTCAGCGTCTTTCTTACATCCAACATAAACAAAATATTTTCTCATTACTCAACACACCACACAATTCTTCATTGCAAGGAAATTAATTAAACTAAAAGAGATAGCACACCTTCACTCCAAAAGCTTGAGCTCTGTCTTGTTAGCTTCCTTCCTACCTTCGAGCTCAGGGCGTGTCCTATTACATAGTAATTCTTATCTGATACTCTAAAAAATATCACCAAAATGTTTTCATGATGAAATTCTCAAGAAGGTTACTTACTTGGATAGAATAGAAGTTGAATGGTTAATGCTGGATATGCCATGAAAAAATTGA